GTAGTATTTGCATACAATACAGGGACACATTCCACAACTCAATATTCACCATTTCAATTATTATATGGTCGAGAACCAAGATTGCCTACCGATGGAAGATTATCTTCATTTACATTTCGCAAACCAAGTGATTATTATGAACAATTGAACAAAAGTATGAAATTAATACATGGATATGCTCGTGAAAACATTATTCGAAAACAACAGCAGTATAAAGTTCAGTATGACAAATTACGTCCTGATCCTCATTATGTAATAAATGATCGTGTTTTAATTCGACGACATGGATTACAAAATAAATTAGAACCAAAATTTTCAATTGCACCACAAAATATTATTCGTGCACAACATCCTGTTTACTTTGTTAGAGATGAAATAACGCAAGCTGAAACACAAGTGCATCTAAATGATATTAGACCTATTTATATTCAAAAGTAAATTAAACAAAATGAAATCTCTTTAAATAATAATAAACAACACAAAATCAGCAACACCAAATTTATTGACATTATATTAACAATTTTATTAATTTTATTTCTCATCATTTTTTTCATTTAGTGATTGATACAAATCTATTACTAATTTTGGTAGTGAATTAGTTTGATGATGGTTATGTTAAACCAAATTAAACGTATGCGCAACGGTTGATATGGATTAACATTTATCATTTATGAATTGGATTAATTGATATTTTAAAGTGCGCGCGTTAAAAAATCAATTTTATCATCAAATCCTGATGGAAAATTAATAGTAACAATATTTACACTCAATTACACAAAAAAAAAAGAGAATGATGACTCATTTATGGAAACTTTCTTGAAAGAAATGTTTCTGAATAACACCAATCCAAAAAATTGTTAATTCGTCCTTGTATTAATGACATCTATGGTCAATAATACATCACAATTGATTTTCGTAAAAAATGAATGACCAAGGGCTATTGGTCAATATCATCTTCAAATGACTGTCCTTTATTTTTATTTATTATTTATGAGTTTATCGTCCGATTTACTTTATGTTAATTTTTTTCATTTATTTTATATCAACGTGTTAACTTTGTTTTCATTTAGTATTAATCATGTCAGATAAATTCGTTCCGTATCATTTACGTGATATTCACAATCCTCCAGCTCATCTCGATGCCACGCAAAAATCGAATTGGATACGTACAGCACAAAAAGCAAAGAAAAATTATCAACACCAACAACAATATCCAGCATTTAATTTACCAACATCATCTTATGAAGTTGTATATGTAAATAAATCTACAACATCTGAAGCATTGCAAAAATTAATTGATCATGTACGGCATTGCCATGAATTTTCATTTGATACTGAAGGTGATCGATCTAGCAAGCAATTAGCATTAATTCAAATTCAAACGATA